TGTACATCACTCAGCATTTGGGAAAGGCAAATCAAAACTACACTGAGATACCATCTCACCCCAGTTAGGATGGCTAATATTCAAAAGACTGTGAACGATATATGTTTGTGAGGTTGCAGAGAAAAAGGAACTCCCATACATTGTTGCTTGGACTGCAACATGGTGCAGCCTCTATGGAAAATGGTATGGAGGTTCCTCAAACAATTGCAGATAGATCTACCATATGACCCAGCTATCCCACTGCTGGGAATATACCCAGAGGAATGGAAATCATCAAGTCAAAGGTATACCTGTTCTCCAATGTTCATTGCAGCACTCTTTACAATAGCTAAGAGTTGGAACCAGCCCAAATGTCCATCATCAGATGAGTGGATACGGAAAATGTGGTATATCTACACAATGGAATACTACTCTACTATAAAAAAGAGTGAAATACTGCCATTTGCAACAACATGGATGGACCTAGAGAGAATTATATTAAGTGAAACTAGTCATGCACAGAAAGAGAAATATCACATGTTCTCACTTATTTGTGAGAGTTAAAAAATAAATAAATACACAAACAACCTGGGGGGAGGGGAGGGAAGAAAAACACAACAATTACAATTCCTTGAAGTTGATATGACAAGCAAACAGAAAAGAGATTGTTGGGAGGGAGGGGGAAGAGGGAGGAGGGATGGAGGTTTTGGTAATGGGCCACAATAATCAACCACTTTGTATATTGACAAAATAAAATAAAATTAAAAAATATATATAATAAAAAGTTAGGAAATAATATATCTGAGGTTAAAAATGCTGTATTTAAATTTTAAGGGCTGGCCTGTGGCTCACTTGGAAGAGCGTGGTGCTGACAACACCAAGTCAAGGATTAAGATCCCCTTACCACTCATCTTTTGGAAAAAAAAAAAATTATGTTAAACTGCATAGTAACATTTGATTCATTTCCTAAGAAAATTATTAATTAGGAAAACAGGTAATCAAACCAAGTCTTATCTCGTATTTTGTTAGACTCTAATATCATGGTAAAATATAGTCCTTCATTAAGTCAGGCAAAGTACTCATTTATAGAGTGGCAGGAGACTCAGTAAGAAATTCACAGCACTGCTTTCTTTGAGGGTGTGAACATGCTCTGCATGCAAGGAAGCAAACTTGCAAGTAGAGCACTGTGACAGCAATGGTTCCAGAGGTTGAGGAACAATCTCTGCTGTTCCCAGGTGGATGGGCACTGGACTACTAACCTAGTATGTTTGCAACTAGAACCCTAAGCAATGTGTAGCTGGTACAGGTAAGCCCCTTGTTGCCTCTGAGAGGAGACTCAAGTATAAATGTAGAAAATGCTTCCAGTGGTAGCTGTCCTGCTCAGGCTAATCACTTACTTGTATTTAGCCAGGGCCCCCGGCAGAAGGGTGGCCAAGCTTCCCGAGCCATGGCCAATGTAAGTCTGGTACTCCTCTGGAGATGACTAGTGCATGACTAGTCATCTCCAAACAAGCATTTAAATATTTTATAAATAGTCACAATAGGCCAAAGGCCTTTCATTTACCAAAGTATTTAGGATCTAAGATATCTTTTTTAAAAAAACTGGCACCTGCTAATTGCTCCACTGTCCTGTTACATACCTTCTTGGTAGTTGTGTGCACCATCTGGCAAAGCAAGGAAGGGCAAGTATTTCCATTCTTCAGGTAAAGTGTGGCTGTCATGTCCATCTCCTGGAATCAGGGGCGGGTAAGAGAATTCAACCTACAATGGTAAAGAATGTTAACCAAAAGGTGGTTGAGTAAAGGAAGCATTTTATTCTGACAGGCAAAAATGCTTTTAAATCTTGAATAACAGAAGTGGGCATAAACCATACTTGTTGATGCCATTTGACATTATGAGCATACCCTATAGCACAGAAGAGGAAAAAGAAAAAAGTAGTAAGAGAAGAAAAGATTTGTAAGCCTCTCCCCTTTTCTGATTTAAGGGCTGTTAAACTTTAATGTGTACAAGAGGGGAGTGGGAGAAGGTAGTAGTGGTAGTAATGGTGATGGTGGTGGTGGTGGTGACTGGATTGGAGACTGAGCTTTGGGAGCTGTCATCAAATATATAGTAATTGAAGCCATGGAGCCCTGAGGAAAACCAACATCCTACACTTCATTGAGCAGAAGTCCGATAAAGGAGCCTGAAGTTGTGTCTTGAACCTCCCACTAGGATAGTTCAAATAAGGCAACTGCTCAAACTTTAAGCAATCAAATAATTACTTTGCTCTACTTCCACATTCACCCTATTGAAAGCTCCTTCAGCTGAGCCCCAACCACTTCTGGTTTGGAGCTGCCTGATTCATGAAGCATTGTCTTCTCAGATTCTAAAATTTTAATGTGCTAAAGCTTATCTTTTAACACTTTTGACTCAGCAATTTCAGTTTTAGTAATTTATCCCAAGGATACTCTCACATATTCACACAGATACGTACAAAAATATTCAATGTTCGCAGCAGCATTCATTGTACCATAATAATTGGAAAACTAAATATTCATCAAAAGAGTAGTTAAATTTTACACCAGTTCTATCCAGCTATTAAAAAGAATGTTAAATTCACATATTTTGATAGAGAGAGAGAGAGAGAGAGAGAAAAGATAGCCATGTTACACTGTGTGGCAGGCAAAATAATGGCCCTTCAAAGATGTCCATATCCTAATATCTTCAATCTGTCAAGATGTCACCTTACATGGCAAAAGGAACTTTGCAGATATGATTAAGAATCTTGAGCTGGGGATTATTCAGCTGGGCCCAATGTAATCACAAGGGTCCTTATAGGAGAGAGGCAGAAGAATCAGAGAGAGATATTTGAAGATGCTATGCTATTGGCTTTGAAGATGGTGGGAATGCAGGTGACCTCCAGAAGTTGGACTAGGCAAGAACATCAAGTCTCCCCTAAAACCTCCAGAAGAAATGGAGCTCAGCCAATGCCCCTTAGAATTAAGGGCAGATGTAGAAATCTATCTTCTTTTCTGAAGATTTAGTTAAGTTGTCAATGGCTGGAAGTTTAATTAATTAATATCTGAAGCCATGCTGTGTTCAAATTATTGTCCCAATTCCCAATTCTACTGAAGGAAGATCAATTTTGGGTGGCTCTAGTTCGAACTCAAAATGCAGTTGACTCATAAAATTGTTATAAAGAGAAGTTAAGTGTAGATATTATATATCCTCCAAGAATTCCACGAGTAAAATTTAGGCTGTTCTAGGTTGACTTGGACCCAAAGTGTTTATAACATTGTTTCTTTGGCAAAATGTGTTCAGAATGTCAAACAGCCAACTTTTAGAACACAGCTTATTCATAAAATTGTAGACTACCTGTACTGTGTTGGCAGCTTTCTAGAATTCTTTTCTCCAGCTTGTGGATTTGCTACCAACAAATACTTGCATTTGGAAACTGCTGAACTTGCTAATCAAGCTCAAAACAGTCTTTTATACAAACTCTTTTCTATATCTATATGAGTGTACTTCAAAAAGTTCATGAAAAGATTTGTATTTTCTTTTAAATTTGTTTTCCAAAAACTTTTGAAGCACCCTTATATATATATATACACAATAATTTTCATGGCTATACAGTATTACGTCATTGTTTAATTAATTCTCCATTGTTGAACATTTTTTTCTAGTTTTTTTTTTACATTGTTATAAAGTATTCAGTACTAATGAAGTGTTGTATAATAAAAAAATATATATTTGGTATATGTCCCTGGTTCCTGGAATAAAGCTCCAAAAACTCTTGGAAATTCTGAGTGATAGGAGCATATTCTGTTATCCACAATAAGCCCAATCAACTGTACCTCACGTTATGCTAAGGTGACTCTTGGGTGGGGGTGGGGGCGGTTCGATAGCTTCAGATTTGGGCAGGTCATCAGAAACAACAAGCCTTGATTAGAGAAATGGAACTTTCAGCCCCACCCGTTGACCTCCAGGGATGGGAGAGGGAATAGAGATTGAGTTCAATCACCAATGGCCAATGATTTCATCAATCATGCCTATGTAATAAGATTTCCATAAAAATCCCTAAAACAACGGGGTTTAGGAAGCTCCCAGGTTGGTGAACACACACATCTAGGTGCTGGGAGGTGCCACACTGGAGAGGGCATGCAAGCTCTGCACCCCTCCCCATACCTTGCCCTGTGCATTTTGTCCATCTGGCTGTTCCTGAGTTGTGTTCTTAAGTGAGTGCAGTCTTGTGGGACTGAGCCCTTAAACCTATGGAGTTTGTTGCTAACTCAAGAAGTTATGCCAGAATAGGACTGAATTGTAGGACACTTGGTAGGTGTCCGAGATTCAGAAAAAAGAATCAGTTATTTCCAAATTGACAGTATATATACTATGGTTTCTCTTCAGATAGTATAAATCTTTTGCCTTTTACCAAATTGATGGTATATTTAAATCTTAAATTGTATATTTTTCACATTTTGAATATAGACCAAATATTTTATATGCCCCCTTTCTATATGTCCAAATTAATCCAGACAGAAACAATAATTCATGATACAGAAGTCTAAGAGGAATACTCTTGGAAATTATCTGAGACTCTTAATACTCAGTTAAATCAGGAGGCAATTTAAATAATAATGCCAATTAAACTAACCAGTACCACAGAAAGTAAAGACAGGTGTAGCAGACTGCCTCACTGAACAACTCCAGGGGGAACCACAAACACTGTTTATGTGAATGTCTCTCCCTGGAGTTGTGTCGTGAAGTCCACACAGCTGTACATGGCAGCCCCAAATATATGTGAAAAATCACAGATAAAACCCAAAGTAAATCCCCGACACTAAGAAACACTTAGACTGATTATCATCCAGTAGGATTACTAGTAAATAGTGAAAGTTCATGGCCCAAAATCTAAGTTAAATTTGGGGATCAAAGATGGTGACAACAGATGTGTGGCAGACGTATCCAATGTCCCCCCAAAGGATGTTATTAAGTCATGCAAATTTCAAATCTCTCTTTATGTAACTAACATTTATGTGGCCAAATTTACTTTGATCCCAATTAGTAGTAATAATTTACATTAGAAGGGGAGAAGAGGGAAAAAGAAGACAATGGCTAATTTTGAAAGTGAAAGCTGAAGATGCTCTAATCACAAGGAATAAAAAGGCAGTTTTTCTAAATGCTAAATGAACTATGCAAGAAAGTGTGATATATGTTTGTCCTCTAGCAATTGTAAAAATTACTACCCCTTTTCATAGTTTACAAATCCAATTGGTGTCCTCTAGTCAGATTCCATTTACTTTGTCCTCAGAAAAAAAAAGATGGAAAAAACAACAAAGAAAAACTACAAAAACAAAGCAATTAAGACAGTATCCCAGTGTGAACTTCGAGTACTTCACAAGTACCCTTTGTTCTCTTTCTAACAATGTAATATCCATTTCACTGTCAGAGAACCGTAAGACAAATAGAAGCCATAAAGCCAAACTATCAGCACACAAACTAAACACATTTACGGACCTTATAAACAATGACACAACATGGCTTACTGAGAGGAGGAACTGTACCTAGGGTAGGTACAGACCAGAGAAGTTCTGAAGTGCTGGAATTGTTCTAGATCTTGATCTGAAAGGTTCTTAAGTATACACATGTAAAGTTTCATGTACTTTATTGTTCATAAGTTATACCTCAATTTAAGAAAATAAATAATACTTAAAAAAAAATCGGTATGAAGACCAGCTATTTAAATGCATGGACATCTGAAATTGGATAAACATCGAGTTCCAGTCCCAGCCTGCTACTTAGTTGGCTATGTGACCTTGAGCAAGTCACTTATCATCTTTAAACTTCAGTTTCCTCATCTATAAAATTCTTGGTGCTAAATGAAATTTGTGGGATGCTATTATTATTACTATTTTTTTTTTTTTTTTTGCAACTGACTGGTATGGGGATCCGAAGCTGTGACCTTGAAGTTATAAGGCTGTGCTCTAACCAACTGAGCTAACCAGCCAGCCTGGGATGCCATTATTTTGGATTGAGTGCCTGCACTAAGCTGAACAGACCAGATCAAACTAGAAGAGTCACTCATAAGTGCCACATAATTGAACTAAACTTTGAAACTAGTTTTCCAGAAAAACATGAGATTCACAGCAACCAATCAGAAAGGGTCCAGTTTAGTTGAGCTGGCATGATAAGGAGGTCCCTCTGTTTTAAAACTATAGGAAAATAACTTTAAAATGATCTGCTTTTTGTTCCCTGTTTCTGCTTTCTTCAACCTCTTTCTGCCTGTAAAGACAACCTCCTCTGCTGAGCTTATTGAAGAGCCTTGTCTAAATCTTTAGATGAGATGCTCCCTGATTTCTGAACTGTTTACAAAAGCCAATAGATTTTCAAACTAAATTTACTGACATTTTGCTTAATGGTTCATTCTTTAATAAATGAGGAATAAATGAGATATTAAACACATCTAAAACAGTGCTTTGTACATGGTAAACATTCAATAAATGACAGCTATTATTAATAATATTTCCACAGAGCAGCAATAATGAATTGCACGGTGACTAAAACCTTATACTGGCATAAGCTCTCATGAATAGTTTTTAAAATAATTCACAACAGATAGGAATTATGTTTAGGGAACACTTTATGGAGCTTAGAATCTTTGCTATAACTTGTTTACAAAGACGAAAGGAAGCCATTCTACTTAACAGAAATTTATGCTCTCAATACAGAAATTATATTAACATCCAAAGAAGTCTGGATTTCTTTATTAAACTGTGGCTTTT